ACCCTTGGTGCCAACAACGTCACCGCTGACGTCAAGGAACTCATGGAGATTCTTACTAGAGAGTTCGAGCGCGCCCATGGATCTATCGAGGGACTCCAGAATGACCAAGCGGAGAAGTCTGCGCTTCACCTCGAGAAGCACGACGAAGTCAAAGCCGCGATCATCGCGGGCTTCACGGAAAGCCTAGAGGACAAGTTCAACACTCTTATGGCTAAGTACGATGATGCTCAACTCTTGGCGGACGAACTTGCGAAGGTCATGAAGGAGAAGTCCGAAGAACAAGAGAAGATCCTTGAAAGCAACAGGGCGACGGCGGACGAGCTTCGTCTGACTATCGACACTCTTGGCGCCACCATCGCTGGAATGAACGACCGAATGGAAGGCACCACCACCCAGTGGTCAACTGACTCTGCTTCTATGATTGGCAAGGTAGAGGAGACACTCGCCAAGTACGAAGAGCAGAAGCTTGCGATGATGGAGAAGCTTGAGGAGCAGAAGCTTGAGACTATCGCCAAGCTTGAAGAGCAGAAGAGCGAGACCATCGCCAAACTCGAAGAGCAGAAGAACGACACCATTGCCAAGTTTGAAGAACAGAAGCTCGACGACAAGACGGAGCATTCTCATACCCGTGACGAGATCAAGAACGTCGAGAACATCTTCACGAACCTCCAGGATAACATCACGGAGTACCATCCCAAATTCATGGTTGCCTTGCACGAGATCGAAGCTCTTGTCAAGGCTCACTATGAGCACGCACAGAAGACCAAGGAGGAGGCAGACGAGAATGTCCGTGCTTGGAATGAGGAAGCCAAGGCTCGTTCTGAAGAGTTGCAGACTCACTTTGCCAATCTGCCCAAGCTACTCCCAGCCCCTACGCCGTCTATCGAGCTTCCCGAGAAGTACGACGATGCGCCTGTGCAAGAGAAGCTCGACAAGCTGCTGGCGATCGAGCCTGCGCCAAGCTACAATGATGGAGCAGTACACGAAAAGCTCGACAAGCTCATTGGTCATGCTGATGATGCAAGCAAAGCTGCGGGCAACTTGGAGAAGTTGGACGAGATTCACGCTCAAGTCAAGATGACTGCCGTAGAGCTGAGCGACTTCGTCGCCAAGCAGACGCAGTTCATCACCGATGGCAACGAGTCCAAGGAACGCGAAGCTGAGGAGCTCGCTCTGCTCATCGAGCGCAGGACAACCCAGAAGGAGCAGCTGGAAGTCGACTTGGAAAGTCTGCGAGCTGAGAAGGCTACCCAGAAGGAGCAGCTCTTCGCAGACATCCAGGAGATGAAGGCTGAGAAGGATCGCGTCGTACAAGAGCTCAAGGAGGAGAAGGAGCGTGTCATGGCCGAGCTGCAAGAAGAGAAGGATCGCACTATGGCTGAGCTCAAGGAAGAGAAAGATTCGCTTCTTGCTGCAGTTGCCAGTCTGCAAGCGGAGCGCGAGAACCTTGCTAACCAGAAGGTTCGCCTTACTGGTGAAGTCTCGTCTCTGCACACTGCGCTTGACATTCGACGAGAGGAGCTGCACTTCATGGACACAAAGGCTGACGCACTCGAGCGTCGCATCCTAAACGGCATCATGGACCACTCCCGTGCTCTAATGATGACCAAGGGTGGCTCGAAGAACGCTTCGAAACTCAAGAAGCGCATGAACGCAGACGCTGCCAACGAGGACACCAGGGCCATGCCACCTCCCAGCACTGCCGCGAATGGTCTTTCTCTTGCGCTCAAGCCCCGCCCTGCTATCCGTCGTAACGGTGCACCTGCCAACCCAGCACAACGCCGCATCCTGTCTCTTAGCCAGATCAGCGGCAACGCCCCTACTGGAGCTCAAGCTTACCCGACAACGAAAGCTTCGGTTGATAGCAATGCCGGACTGAAGCGCAGCCACTCTGTCAAGACCAGCAACTACTCTCGCAAGGGCTCTTGGGGCGGTCGCCCTAGCGCCGTCATTGCCAACAAGGAGAATGATGTTCTGCCTGAGGAGGATGAGCACGAGACAACGCCGATCTCTCACGAAGTCATCGAGGAGGACGCACAGAGCGAGACCGGCACTGAGCGTCGCTACAGTCTCGACAGCCGCGACTACGCTGAGGGTGAGACGCCAGGCTATGACGGTCGCTCCAGCTTTGGCGGCACAGGCAGCGAGTACACATACGCCTCCGGTTCCTCGTACATGACCGGTAGCGACATCGACCGCCGCACCTCGTATGGTGCTCAGTCAGCTCGCTCTGCTGCGCCCGGTGAAGAGCGCATCGACGAGGAGGGCTCTGTTTACTCCGAAGACGAAGAAGACGATGAGCCCACTGCTACTATCAACCCATCCGACGTCACTGGCTCCGAAATCTCGACCGCCACTACCGAGAACGACGTGGAGCTGCCAACACAGTCAGAAATCGTCCGTGCTGTTGACGCCGTGAAGGAAGAGATGAAGGAGAACTATGCCCCACCCAGCGACTCGGGTGTTGGTACTGATCTGCCTACTGCTGCCTTCAACGAGTCCGAAATGGACGCCGATTACTTCCGGCGCGCGGCTGAGGAAGAGGCAAGCACTGTCGGCTAGATCCACATCTACGAAATCTATTGACGACTGCTGATACGAACACGCTCCTGCGTCTCGCTCCGTAACTCCCGGTTTGAAGCTTCGACTCGCCCTCTGAGGGTTCTAGAGTTGGCATCACCGCTTGATATGTCGAGCTTGACCACGACGTGTTCTTCGAAGTCGCAATGCATGATTGATGGCTTATGTGTACGTGTCACGGCAGGACGAAGTTTGGATGGCATTGATGTTGTTGGGACGCAGGTTCACGAGGAACGAACGGTATGACGAGCTTTGAGATATCCTTTCGGCGTTGGTTATCGGGTGTTTGGATAGGAATCGGCGGATGTACGCATTTGGGTCTCTGGGTCTGGCGCTTGTTTGGTTAACTCGGTGGAGTCACATTGCTGTTTACATGCTTGTTCTTGTTTATAACTTTAGCCGATACGCAAGCTCTTCCATGAGCGTAATGAAACGATCGCCTTCCACTGTTCGCCCATGACTGGAATTTGCGTTGTGAAAACCGTGCAAAACTTGCCTGATGTACGACAATGGATCGAGCTCCTTCGAGCTATCTGTGAACGCGCAGATCGATTAGCAAAGCAGCTTGAAGAGTATAGGAAGAAGAACTAGTGATCATCGTGAGAAGAGTAACACTGTTCCTTGTACTGGGTACGCGCAAGTGGGATTCCCTTGAGCAGACTTCCCTGCTATAAAGCAATCGAAGAACGGTGTACGCGACGAGGTAGGTAGCAGCAAGGCCTACCCTGGAGAAGATTGTCGGTCAAGATTGCGCTCACAGAAGAAGATATGCTATCGCTATCGCCGAGTGACTTCACGTGTCTTGATGGGTGTCTACAGCCAGTGCGATGGGTAGGAATGAAGATTGACGCGTCGATGCCGAGGACGCGACAGCGCTAGTACATTATGGGTTGGCGTGGTTTGTCGGCCTCTCGCACCTTCACGAGCCCCGCATACATGCCACCTCGTTCTATTCTCCTGACTGTCGCGCCCGAGTAAGAATGTTCTTCTATCTCGTTATCATCGTGTGCCTACCTACAGTTTGTCCGCTACCAAACAGAAACTTGTGTGCGAAAGATCACGGATTACATATTGCGGAGAGCCGAGGGTTCTCACGGCTTCAAACAGGCCATCATGGAACCCGGCCAACGCGGCCTATACATGCCGTGTGCAATGTACACAGCTGCCAGGCTTTTTGTCATACAGTCTCAACTAGGGTAGCATGCATGGGGTATCTCCAGCTACCCCGAATGTTATGAGGCTATACGCTGATCAATTCCTCCAGCCCCCACAAGGCTGAGTGGTTGTACTCTAACATTCGATGTGGTGGCTATAACGACACGATACAAAGCCACGATGTGCCTGCCAGGCACATTGAAGGCTTCCGCTGTTTTCCTGACACAGTTTTATTTGGTCGCAGTTTCTTGAGACTGATTTCAGCTGAGAGATAGAGAACGGACTCTTTCGCGGGGGCGGGTTTGGCACTCTCGCGTGGTGCTACTGTGGCGCAGGCGCCATGCATTCAGCTTGACAAGCATCGTCCTCTCATGCCACCTCGCCAAAACTAGACTTGGAGGCTGTGCAAGCCCTTAAGTCTGAGTGCTGCCGTCAGCCTAACCACGAACGTATCTTCTTCTGTCACCCGCATCATGCGTGTAGTAACGTGGCTGTCTTCTCTCTTTAGGCGTCGAGAAAAGCGCGCAACCACCTATGCAGCGATCGAGCTCTGCCAAATCAAAGATGACGGAGAAGTGAAGGCGCGTGAGAAGTCATCTCTGCAAGGCTGGCCAGAGGTTCAGCAGCGATTGAAGGGTGTTTCAGCTCTCTACTATTCTGGGGACTGTTTCTTGGTGTTGTTACCGTTCGCGTTCATCGGTGAGTGGGCCGAGAGGATGAAAATCCACACACGCATCTGCCGCTGACTTGAACAAGTATTGGCGCTGACTGCATGGCGACTTGACGGACAGCCTCTGTCCGAACGCGGCAAGCTTGTCCAAAGTGCCATGAATGTCGGCCCGACTGTTTACCCACTCGTCTACGCTGCGCTCGGTGGCCGTTCTCTAAGAAATATCGCAGTCAGGTGTGCAGAGCGAGGAACAACCGTTGAGGTATGACTTCCCCTGCTTTCGCTGCAAAGGTGACTGAACCACCTCCATAGGATCACTATTAATCGTTATGGTGCTCAACAGGCGCTCGAGAAGTATCTTGGAAGCCAAAGCTTCGTGTCCGCTATCAGTACCGCCATCACTATTCGATCTCTGGATTTAATCTCTATTCTCATCCTATTCTTATGGGCCTTGTCACCTATAGGTGGGCAGAGTTCGTTGCATCTTCTCCGGGAGACTACAAATACAACATACACTACAGGTACCGCCTATTACACAGATTCGGACCCGAACCTTCTCCGGTTTGAAATTCAGGACATACTTACGGCTAGCCTGATGGCCCCTGAGCGAACTCAACTCGGCCCACTGGACTCATGGAATCGCCCCAAGATTCCACGGATCAAATATGTAGAAAGAGAGCAGGACTTCCCCGATGATGCCGAGACAGAGTGGAGTTCGAGAGTTGTCAACGGAAGCTACACCTCCCTGATCGGAATCAACGTCCAAGGCCTCGCACCCAATTCAAATTCGACTTTCGATGCTGCACATCAGTACATATCTCTGGATTGCAAGTCACGATTCACCGGAACTGTGAACGAAACTGTGGAACATCTAGACTTGTACTTTCCCAACCTGTATCCAAGCATCAACTTCACGGCCTCGGACCCTTTCGATCAACTTTTCTCGTTTCCTCCAGAAAACAACGTACAGCTTTATGAATGGACATATGGGGGGAATGCCGCATTCTTCAGGTTTGGGACCGAGGATAACACCCGCTCTAATGCCAGCGCTTCAGAAGCCGATGGTCGAGTTTTACAGTTTTTGTTTGGACTTCCTGAACCCCGATCCGGGTACTCGGCAAGAGAGGGTCTGACAGTTGTGTATCAATGTGCTCCAAATCTCGTCAGAGTAGATGTCCACACATCCTGTCAAAACAACATCTGCGAAATTGAAAAGATTCGCCGAAGCCAGGCGATATCATCTGAAGCAAGAGAATGCGAAGGCGACTTTGACCGCCGTCTCCAATGCCTCACAATTGACACCAAGAGCTTGAGGAATTTCGTAACCTCAGGTGGAAAAGCAACGTGGTGGTTCTTTTCTCAACTACAAGATGCGATGCGAGATACTAAGGGTGTTCAGAATGACCTGGTATCGGAACGGCTCACCCTTTGGTTCAATACCTGGTGGCAGGCTGGTGCTTTTCCGTCCTCAGCCACGGTGCGGAACCCTTACGATGTTCCTTCGCAGAAAGTTGTTGATGACACGACCAATGCCGGTGGATATTGGATGATCCCGGCGAATGCGACCTTCTCCACCAAGTTCCCTGTCTACCGAAGGAATAAAGCTTGGATCGGCACACTTCTCTTCACCTCCACCGTATTGCTCCTTATGGGCATCCTGAATATCGCCATCTACTTAACAACATTAGCCCCAGATTATTTCACATACATCTCAGCCTTCACACGCGACAACCCATACGTCAAAGTTCCGGAAGGCGGCAGCGGCCTCTACGGTTCTGAACGCAGCCGGCTTCTGCGGAAGATGAAAGTGCAGATTGCGGATGCGAAGCCGGAGAGCGATGTTGGCTACGTGGTACTCAAGAGTGTTGAGGATGAAACGGAGTTCGCGAGTGGGCAACTACGTAAAGGCAGGCTGTACGAGTGAACTCTTTGGTAGGACGGCTTGGAAGATACAGGGATGGTGTATCGTCATGTTGATGGCATGTCTGTGCACTTAGAGAACATACGTTCAATGTCTCGAAGCTTGCTGCACGTATTGAAGTGATGGTCTAGGTGCAGATATTGTTTTGCTTCCATCTGGTTCAGGCTTTGTTGTTTAGAGCATGGGAATAGGGCAAGGGCAACAATTCCCAGTCTGTCTGATGTAGATTACAAAGCCGATGACCTTGATAGAGTATATATCCATTGCCCGGAACTCCATTGTCTCCCTAGTTGTACATCAGATAGTAGTCCAACAATTCCGTTTTGAATGTCCAGTTATCACTCGTCGTCATCTTCGTCGTCCGCAGCCTTCTTCGCACTCTCATCCTCGTCCTCTTCTGCCTCTTCTTCGTCTCCTTCCTTCTTGTCCTCAGCCTTCGCACTCAGATCAGCCTCATAATCCGGCCGTACGACCTGTATATCCTTCTTCGCGAGCGCAGATTCGATAAGCGGTGCCGATGCGAGTAGAGCGTTGTATTGATCGATGGTCAGAGAGATACCCTATTCAAACCTCCACGTTAACAACTCATCCCGCTAGAAAAAGCAGAAGGGAGAATGGAAAAGGGTGCCTACCTTCTTTCCCGGCCTCGTCTCTCCAGCATCAGTAACGTAGTACTCCCGTATACTAACAAGCGTACTCTTGTTGAAATCGCTAACCGTTACGCGTCGCTTGCCGCTGGCGTTGAGCTGGAGTCTCGTCAGCACTCTTCTGCTCCTTGTTCGCTGCTTCTCATCTTATGGCTACTCACACCAACATATGCATCGCCGTTATCATCCGTCTTCAGCTCAGGTACCACTGGTATCGACTCCTCGTCGTCGTCTCCGGATTTGGTCTTCTTGCTTGCGCGCGGCGCGCTGTCATCGTCGACGTCGGGTGAGGAGCGTTTCTTGGTGAATGTCTTTTTGTAGGTGCTGCCACCTCGGGCACCGCCGCGTTTCGTGAATCCTGCCATTGTGTGTTGGGAGGAGTGGTTCAAGGTCTGCGCGATGGATTGTACTCCTCGCGGCGATGACGCAGGGAGGGCGTGTCGCGCTAAGGAAACGCGCTAGAGACGCGGTCATGTGATCAAGCGACGCGACTTGTTACCTTTTGGCCGTCGTGTAGCTCTTGCCCTCAAGCTTGAACGGTCTTTCCCTGACTTACTTCTCTCAAGGTAGTTCTCGTTATGACGCTCTTTACTCTTGTATACTTCATTCTTTCATGTAAGCGAGTGTCGACTTGACTAATCTATCTACTGTGGTCATGATCCTGTAATGTCTAAATGGCGTGTATCACTTTATCCGCCTTCGGTGCCCTATGTACTTCGCTCCATGGTCGTGAAGGTCGCATCTGCTGCACCCTTTGTGGCCTCTCCAAACTCAGTGGCCCGGAAATTTCCTTCTCAAACTCTTGCGAAATCCTGCCCTCGTGGCTGAGAACAGAGTCTGCGCGTCCCATCTCGACATCTTTGGCCACTGACGCTCTTCCATGCGCGTTCGGGTCGATCAGAATTGATGGCACGCGTGGGTCGTACATCGTGGGGACGCGACTGCGTGAAGGAGGTGGGACAACAGCGTCGTATCCGTGGAAACCCATGCCGAGTGCCGATGCAGTAGGTTCGAATGAACAGCTCTCCTTTTCTCGGGCGCGACGACACGCATCGATCGTTGCGGTAATGAAAGTGATCAAGAAAAGGAACCATCCCGCTCCGGCTGCGATGGTGTAGCCACGGCTAAGATCGACCAGGATGGCGAACATCATGAGGTTTGGGTTCGCCGCAGTGTCGAGACGCGTTTCGCTAAAGGTCTCGAGACTCATGTTGAAGCTGAGAGAAACGCCGAGAGCGACTGCCATGGCGCACATGCACAGGCATTCGATGGGGATAAGGACCGCTGAGGGTATGCGCAGGCGTTGGATGATGGCTGTCAAGACAATTACGATGCCCGCGAGCGAAGCAAATCCGGCCTGTCATGTCAGTAAGTGAGTATTGGTTGATAGCCGATCCACATACCGCCGCGACTGAGATCCAAATCTTGATGGCGCCTTTGTAGACCGTAGCAAAGTATTCTTTCCAATACTCCGCCATTTGAGCCTCTGGTTGAAGCGCGTCCATGATCCCGGTACCGCGACTCTTCATATCGCGAATGATGAACTGGGCTAATTGAAATGATTAGCACCATTTTTCCATGTTCTTGATTGAAAGATGAACACTTACACCAAGCACCTAGTCCTAGCACTCCCATCGCCACGATCAGGGCTAGGACCCTTATTGACAGCAATATCGATTTGCCATATCCCATTCTCGTACAAGAAATTAATGAAAAATACAAGATGAAATGAATGTAAAGTATAAGCACAGTCCAGCTGGCAGCTGCTCGCAGAGCGCTAAGTTGAAAGTAAGTGGTGTCTAAACGAGTGAGTGGTAGGCACGAAAAGAAAACTCGTTTCCGCGAGCGGATGCAGTATCGCTATTGAGGCAAACATCACATTGTCAATAAAGTTCGGAGCCTCAGGAGCCGGGTGCCTTAATGTGATGCCTTGTGCAGCTCGAGTGGGGGTGGAAACATCTGAGGTGCAGGGTGGCTGGTGGTGCCTGAGCGTGCAGGCAGACCTGATTCAAGACCTGCGATGTCAACGCGCCACCATTCTTTCCACGCGGAGCTCTGGTTCCGACCCGTACCTGAGCATAAGGCAGAAGAATCTTCTGGAGCACTGGTCTCTCTCTGTACCCTTGCTTCTCGCCTCACAGCTCATTGTTCAAGCGTTCATGCCATCGCAGCTCAGCAATTGGCCAGCAAACCCGAAGATTTCCCACGGAATGTTGTGATCCGCCGTAAGAGGAATGCGTCCACGCGCATTGACAGTTGTGACGTTCCGATAATGAGGAACGGCTGGGGTGATGCATGTTTCTCCACGTGTTGGCGGTCTTGAGACAGAACCTGAGGCACCAAGGCGTCGCCGTTGTCAGGCTGAAACGGGCGCCAGACCCGGGAACTGTAGCAACGCCATCAACGCTTTCCGGAAGGTTCCGTCATCATATAGCCAGGCTGCTCAATAAGTAACGACCGTGCCGCTATGATGCCGCCAACATTTGGCTGAGGTCGCAACCTTGAAATAGCTGCACGGCCTAAGCACGACGCGCTAAATCGCTCCGGGGTTCGGTCGATTGTTATCCGGGGCTTCTTCATGAACCGACTTCCGACTTCCGACAGCGAAAGCCTGGAAAAGATGGATGACGAGGTCTTAGCAGTGCTAAGAAGCATCATGGCCAGGCGAAGCATCGCGATGCTTCGACTGTGAATTTGATTCGTACCTACGGCACGATGAGTAGGTAAGTTCGTGTCAAAGCCGGCTCTGCAAATAATCTTGTCTTATCGAACAAGGTCTGCTCCGTTACGACTTAGGACGATTTTGAATCGCATGGCTACAGTAAGCAAGACCTTTGAGATGGAGATGTTGTGCTTTCGTGGAAAACAGAGCGGGGCGATGCGAAGAAGCATCTGGGTAATCGTCGGCGAAGCTAGCCTGTCGGCAACAGCCAGTCGTGCCGACCACCATCCTCCATCCAGCAACCATCGACACTTGTATCCGCTCTCCCCTCTCCGCCAAGGCAAAATGCGGAGAACGGTTGGGGAGAACGGTAGCATTGCGGATGGCTCGTCACGAGGCCCCAGCCCATATGGTATTCCGGTGGAATCCCGAATGACGTGGGTAGATCGCGAGATGCATGCAGAATTTTCGGAGGTATTTAGCTACCCGTGATGCCAACAACTGCGATCATCTTGTTGCAGACGGAAGTTTCGCAAGATGAGATACTCCAGCGCAGTTGCGGTGAGCTTTGCTCTACTGCCAAATCTAGCGGTCTCACAAGGATACACCAATGAGTCGGAGGTTCCATTTTACGGACTTAGTCCGCCAGTATATCCTACCCGTGAGTGTTTGGGTCATGATCGAAGGTCAAGGGACTAACCATAGACAGCTGTCGGCAATGGAACAACCTCGTCTTCTTGGGCATCCGCATATGCTCGAGCGAGGGACCTCGTGGCGCAATTGACGCTAGAGGAGAAGTCGAACCTCACACATGGCGTCTCCGGCCCTTGCGTAGGCCAAACGGGAGCTGTACCTCGTCTTCAGATCCCAGAGCTATGTTTCGCGGATGCACCTGCCGGCGTGCGAGGACAAGAGTTTGTCTCGTCATTCCCTGCTGGCATTCATCTTGGAGCTACATTCGATCGAGATCTCATGCTCAGATACGGCCATGCTCTCGGTAGAGAGTACAGAGGAAAGGGCATTCACGTTGCTCTCGGCCCATTCATCGGCCCTATTGGACGAGTCGCGAGGGGTGGCAGGAACTGGGAAGGTCTTGGTGCCGACCCGTATCTTGCTGGTATTGGCGGTGGTCTCATCACCAGAGGCACACAAAAAGAAGGCGTGATTGCTACACCAAAGGTAGGCGACATCGTAAATACGATGAGAGTCTAGGCTGATCGTATCAATAGCATTGGCTTGCGCAAGAACAAGAGTACAGGCGACGCCCTGGTGACGAAGGCGAGGCCGTCTCTTCGAATGTGGACGATCGCACACTGCACGAGCTTTATGCTTGGCCATTCATGGATGCCCTGCGTGAAGGAGCCGGTTCGCTGATGTGCTCATACCAGCGAATCAACAATTCATACGGATGCCAGAACAGCAAGCTTATGAACGGAATTTTGAAGGAAGAGTTGGGTTTCGAGGGTTTCGTGGTATCTGACTGGGATGCGCAGCACGCCGGTGTCGCTTCAGCCAATGCCGGTCTCGATGTGGTGATGCCTGTTGCCAAATTCTGGGGCGAGAACCTTACCGATGCGGTTAACAACGGATCCGTTACTACAGAGAGGCTCGATGACATGAACACAAGACTACTCGCAGCCTGGTTCTATCTCAACCAAGATGAGGGATTCCCCGAGAACGCCGTCTACCCATAC